AACAGAGACTTCCACATCCAGACACTGATTTGTGCTTGATTACATTCTGTTCCTTGCATTCAGACCGAATGCAGACAACAGATATGCAGAGCGTGCGGCTCGTGGAGTGAATGCAGATGCAGGACCCAGTCAGGTGCGATCTCTCAGGACCGCCACTCCGCTTGGCGTTTTCTGTGGGTACAAAGACGAAACTTCATGGCAGGCATGAGAAGACAGTTTCCCATTACCCCTGTGCATTTCCAAAGTCTGATCTTCACAGGCAGGCTCTTGGTTGCTGTTCTTTTTTGAAGCGGGGTTGGCTATAGGTGAACTGTCTAAGCAACGGATGCAGGTATGCTTAAGGAAGCCACTCATTTCTGAACTGTCCTGCGTTTGCTTAGCCCAACCACAAACGGAAGCCTGTTTCCTTTTTGTTTGTTTGTTTGTTGGGTTGTTTTTGTTTTATTTATTTATTTATTTATTTATTTATTTATTTATTTATTTTGAGATAGGGATTCTCTGCATAGCAGTCCTAGCTGTTCTGGAACTCACTTTGCAAACCAGGCTACCCTTGAACTCACAAAGACCCACCTACCTTTGCCTCTTGAGTGCTGGGATTAAAGGTGTGCGCCACCACTGCCTGGTTGAAAGCCTGCTTCCTTTATCTTTTTAACCCGGGCACGGAACCTTGTCCAGTCAAATGTTCTCTAGCAGTGTCTGTCCAGTGATTTGCAAATGATCAGAGGACCAAGCTCAGGCTCAGACAGACTGTCCAGAAAAATCCTGGGAGGGTAAAAGCCACCAACTTTCTCGATCCATCACTAGTCTCAAAGATTCTAATGCAAAACCTCTCTTACCAAATGCAGGGAAAGTAGACGGGGGACACATTTCAGAAACAGCCTGTCATCTGCTTAGACATCAGGGGGTTTTCAACTCCAGGGTAGTCTGTAGGGTTCTTCGTGTTTCAGGGGTGCATGTGCAGATCAAGATGAGCCATTCACAGCCTACAGTGCTGGAGGATGGTGTTTTCCCTCCCCTGAGAAGCCAATCACTGTACCCACCTCAACACTCCCTAGACACCTTACCACAGAGGGGCTTGCCCTGAGAGATGCTCAAAGGTGATGCATCCTCTTCAGTGGCAGCAGACTGTTCTTCAGAATGTCCCAACTACAGCCCACTGGAGGCTTTTGCTGTATTCGTCAAGCGTGGTGAGGCCAACAGTAGCAGGGAGGAGCATTGCGAAGTGAGTTTACAACTCAGAGCTTCTAAGAGGGAAATGTCATGCTACAGAGAGACCCCTGGTCAGTCAGGATGTAGAGGACACAGAGAGATGAGGGTAAGAACTTACCCTATTGTTTCCATGAGGAGGAACCAGGCAGGCAGGGGAGGCAGATCTAGGACTGTCTGACTGCAGTAAATCAGCAGGCTCCAGCCTTCCATGATCCCCTGACTTCTGTGGCATCCGGCCTTAGCGTGATAGGAAAGGCAGACTGGGACCTGGCGTGTGAAGGCCACACAAGGAAGGTGACTTGGAGGTGTAGGCTGTGTTGATCTATGTGTGGAAGATGCACTGGTGGGCAGGGCATCTACTGTCTCTGGAGACTGGGCAGCAGGTCCCAGGGGGCCAAAGCACCAGCCCACAGAAAACAAAGGGAAGTATGGCCAATACATCTGGTGCGTATGGTCAGTACGTCCAGCGGCTTACAAGTACTATCGCTCCCTCCACTGAAGGCATTGTTGGTATTGAGAAGAAAGGTCATTTCCCGGATGGCCATTTTAATCTATGTGTTATGTTGGACTTAGAAACATCTAAAAATCCAAACAAATGTACAGGATATGTTATCATGTAGCCCTGCTGAGAGAAAGCTATGTCTCTCTGCACGTCTTTTTCTTTTATATTCAGACAAAAAATGAGCTAAAATGTTTCCACACACACCTCCTGTTTATCAGCCATGTTACTGGAACTACGCCAAATTCGGTTGCAGTGTGCATTCCTAGCAACTCAGACTTTGTATTAGTGTTATAATACAGTTTTCAAGTTCTCATCCGAGTTTCTCGTACCACACTGCGACGTCCTCTCACCTCTCGTTTTTTTACAGTGTCTGCTCAACTGCGCGCACAGACACACTAAGACACAAATCACAGAATGCGCAGACAGGCTGCTGTCAAATTATATAGACATTCATTGTCCCCACCGGGGGGGGGGAGCTTTTCTCCCCTCCCGACTTCGATGCGCTCCGTGTTCCATTATATGAAAATGTTCGTAGAAAAATGGTCTTAATTCCCACAACCTTGCCAGCGGTATCAATCTTCCAGGCTTTGGAACATCACTAATGAAGGGAGCAGCAGCTGAATTAATATTCCTCTGATAAATGGCAGAGGTTTGTGATGCTCCGTTTGTCAACGGCGACTTTCCACAACGTGAAAAGACTTTTGAAAAATTGTCTTGCTTTTCCACCAGTGCCAGGATGGACCTCAGGAGCCTTCCCCATGCATGGTTGCCGTGACCTCAGCCCTTATCCATTTGCCCTAAGTTGTATGAGGGACTGGTTCTTAGCTCGTGGGTAAGGGGACAAAGGCTGTGCGTTGGTGAGCACCGAGGAGGAGAGAGTGAGTTCTTTGGTCGGACGGACCTAAACAGGACGTTACTGTGTACAAGGGCTCCAGGGTGCAGCTGGGAGGTGAGTTAGAGCTGGATTCCTGGAGAATTCTCCATGGTCTTCTACTCAGAACACAGCACTGTTGTGATTCTCACAGCAGCCTGACTGGGGCCAGAGGACAACCAGAGACAAAACCAAATGAAGCCAATGTGTTTCTAACCCCTGCCAAGGTGTGTGTGTGTGTGTGGGGGGGGGTTATGACAACACACAGAATATTTGAAGATAACAACTTTCCATCCGTGGGGGTCAAGGCGGACCCTGGAATCTTGAGAAATATGTAGCCTTGACTGCACCTCCCTTGAGTGTTCTGGGTAGCACACTGGTAGCTGGTGGCCTTACAGCTGCTCTGGGCGCCTCACAAGAGAGCCGGAGGCAGGAAAGCTTTCTTGACAATGCTCGGAAGCGCGGGAGTAGCGTGTCCCCACCTCCATCCCTGCTAGAAGCAGATCGCAAACCAGAGGTGGCCGGGTGTTAGCAGGGACTTGTCTGCACAGCTACACTTGGCAGCGTTTCCATTGTTTGTGAACACAGACGAGCAAGACACAAGATGAACACAACTGGCGGGCTGGCCTTGGCCTTGGCGTTGTGTGGCTTCTAAGTTGGCTGTGCAAGGACATGTTGGCAGAGTCAAGCCAGAGTATATTATTAAACACAACTTACATGCACTCCAATTTAGAGACCGCTTTCAGAATTACTGATAATAGCAGTGGGTTCCCCCTGCATACTTTGTTTAAGACACAACTAGCTGGGGAATGTCCAACTGTTGTCACTACAAACTACAGTAATCCCCACAGGGGGAAATGGATCTTGGAGTTTGGTGGGTGGATTATCGTTATATTGAATAGGGATTCAAGCTGTATCAGAACCTGACAAAACAACCTTTGTTTTTGTAATTGCTTTACATGGAAATAATTAAGGATGAGGAGAAGGACCCGAAGCGTGCTGGGGGGATGAGGTGGGGGTGGGGTTGAAATCGCACTCCCTTGGGTGGAAGCACAACACGGACACCCCTCTGTAGCAAGCCTTTGCCTTGCCTGGGCGTTTGACTCTGCCCGTTCTCTCTGCCTTGCCTTCCTCTGCCCTTGCGCCTTCTGCACCGTCACTACGGGCAGTTTGTTCATTCCACACACTTCACGGGCATGTGTGCTCCGTGTCTGAAAGACGTGAATTCCCACGTGTGGCGTTCCTGCCCATCTGATGTTCAGTATTCTGGAGTCTTCTCATACACTTTTATCTTTCCGAATCTACTTTGGTTGCCAACTTTGGACAACTTGAGTAGTCAGTAGATACAGTGACTGGACGAAATGTAGTGGAGTGAATATAGAGGCATGTATTTTGAGGTTTTGGGTTAAAAATTAATCCATGTATGGAAAATAATTAAGCTAATGCTCTAATATAAAGGGATCCCAATAATGTCATAGGGCCTATCCATTAGTGTATATGAAGCACATTGAAGTTTGTAATGCGTTTTCATATCCCTAATCTCACTCCAGTCCCATAAGATAACAACCGGGCATTCTCTAATGCAACTCCCAAATGTAAGCAGATCCAGAGGCTCGAAGAAGTGAGTGAAAGGGCGAAGATAAGGATCTCAGGTCTCCTAACTCTCAGCATCACTTACAGTCCCCAGAGAAACAGGTGTCCTGGATTTGTGCCAGGAGGTCAGTGACAGGGAACTCTTATGGTGTGCATAGAACCACAGGTCTTGGGAGCTGTACATGCAGTTACAGAAAATGGAAATGCCATTATAACCCTCACATGTTGGTGATAATTGACTAACACAGCATTGTGCAGACGCTTTGTAAATCAGTGTAATCAGTCAAAATGTTAAGCACAGGCCTTCCTTAGGATTTACCAATCTCACACAAGAGCAAAGGAGGCGTGCGGCCCCACACAAAAATGTGCCCACGAGTTCTCACAGCTGCATTTTTCTTATTGGTCAAGAGTCACAAATCCTTCATTGGGCAGGGGGACAGACAAACAGTGCATGCCATGTCTGCACAATTTAGGATCACTCTACAACGAAAAGGAGGTGTCCACTCACATGGCGGTGAGAGTTAATGTCAAAACACGATGCCAAATGCAAGTCATGAGTTACATTGGCTGCAATGGCATGGGATGCCAAGGCTTGTCAACTCAAGAGTGGAAAAGCAAATTTGTGGATTTCTGGGGCTGGGAGTGGCAGAAATGGGAGAAAAACACTATCTGGGGCAAGGCAAATGTCTTAAAATTAGGTTGTAGCAGTGATGGCAACGCTCTGTGATCACATCAAACCCTCTGAAATTACCCATTGGGAATGTATGTGAATTAAAGTTCAGCTGAAGCCATTAAACTACAGAACGACTCTTCTTCCAACCCTAGGCCCAGCTTCTGTCATCAGCAACGACGATGACTCAGCCAGCCCCCTCCACCACATCTCCAACGGGAGCAATACTCCATCCTCTTCCGAGGGCGGTCCTGATGCTGTCATTATTGGAATGACCAAGATTCCTGTTATTGAAAACCCCCAGTATTTTGGCATCACCAACAGCCAGCTCAAGCCAGACACATGTAAGTACAGCTGTTTATACTTACTGACCCATTTGCTGCGTAGCTGCTTCTATGGTTCTGTTTGTCAGGGCCTCTGACAAGGTTGGCTGGGTCTGAGGGCAGCGCGAAATACTTGAGGATTGTTGCACTTTTTGGCCTACAGGCTAGATGCTTTCATTGGTTACTTAGGGAATTCTCAGGGTTTGTCCCCTGCTGGGCTGGGATCTGTGGGCACATATGGACTTTTCTTGGAATCCATTTTCCACAATCATTTGTCAACGTGAAGTTATAATCAAGCATGCTTATCTGGAGAAGGATGGAGACAAAAAACAGAAGTGTCACTAGAATGCATATCCATAATTTATACTTGACAGGCAATTGTAACTTAAATCTGGCTCACTGAAAGCAATTAAAGCATGCATTCTAGGCAGTCAGGAAGGCTCTGTGTTTCATACAGGTGGTATTGATTTGGGGTAGTTGTGTATTCTTTTCTCATCCTAATTTCTAGGATGTAACTACTGTTACATCAAGTGGTATGAGTGTGAGAAGGGGGATGGCTTCTACTTTTAATAACCGTGCTAGCCCATCAGCCCCTACTCGTGAGTCAGGCCCCTTTTCCCATCTTCTGAGCCACTGACCAGATGTAAAGTATGGAGCAATACTTAAGAGCAGCAGAAAATTCAAAGCATAGTGAATGCACAGGCGTTCTCTATCTGAATACAGGCCTTCTCTCATGCATGGATAAGAGACCCTGTGAGCTAGGACATCTGCTGTCCCTGATCCCAGGGGCTCCCTGGCATTGACAAGGTGGCTGTCCTTTGTCTAGCTACATCTCTGTATCCTGCCTACTATTAAATGTTGCTCTACTGTGCTGTCCCGGAGGCTAAGGAGGGCAATTATAAAGTTAGGTTTGGAGACTGATAGTTTGCTGAAAACTCATTGAGATCTTTCTGTACATAAGTAAAAAATTTCTCTTTATTTCTACTCATTTACATTTATTTCAAGGTATGTCTAAGACTGGAGCTGGAACTAAGTATTAGAGTTAACATTCTTATAAGCTTGTAATGAATAAAACCGGGCCCCACCAAAGATGTTAGCTGAATTTGTTATATGGCAAGTACAAAAGGATGCTTAAAGATTGGTAGAAGTCCTCAAACATTAAGTCATGGTGTCATTGATTCTAGTAACTATGGTGTGACTGAGGCAACAGGAGATACTGTTGAGAATTAGGCATTCTCTGTGGAAGTTGGCTTCACTAAGCACCCTTGAGGTGTCTATATATGTGGCAGCCAAATATGAAGAAATATTAAGATACTGTGGTAAGAGAATCTGGGGTCTTTCCCATCATCCTCCCTAGAAATATCTTATCTTGACACCACTGTCTCCATCAGGACTAGGCTGTGTGGTGATTTCTATCCGACCCAGGCTGAATAGCTGAGGTTCACTAAAATTAACATTAAGTTTGCTTTCCTTTTCAGTGGAGGAAAAGTAAGGCCGAATCATCAATCAGAGACCATTGGTCTAATATGCCTAATGAGGATGAATGAAGAAAGGCAAAAATAGACACATTAGTGTGGGTGGAGGGTTGCCACAGGGCCTCAACCCTACACAAAGAACCACAGGCAACTAAGAAATACTGGGAGGGGGAGAAACCGTCCTCCCCAGGGAAGAGCACACCAGTTGATATCCAGTACCCAGTGATCAGCCCTGCAAAACAATGTTTTCAGCAAGAAAAGCTCCTGTGTTTAGAGGGTCAGTGGCTGTGTGGGAGAACTGGATGGGTGGCCGCCCGGCCTGTGACCCCACTGAACATCTCCCTCAGGGTCTCAAGAGGAAGCTTGCAGAAAATCACCCCATCAGGCCAGAATCTACGGAGATTTCAGGAAACAGTTTAGGTAATTCTGGGGCCCCTCTCACTCTGCGGCTCAGCCATGTTATGTCACCTACACTTGGAAGGGACTTTAAGAGAGCTTCGGAACCCCTGGCTTCCCCTCAGCTTCTGGCCTCCGGGCTGGGCTCTAGACCACCAAGCCTCTTTGGCTAGTCCTTCCTTACAATGTCTCACTGAGTAATGTCTCACCGAGCCCCCCCCCCCACCTGAACACCCTTCCAGGCCTAGTATTCTCAGACATATCTTATCTTACATAATCTAAAACTAACTTTTTTTTCCCCAGACATTATCTTTAATGATTTTTTTTTTCAAACACTTCTAAAAAAGCACTTATCTTCCATGGATACTTTATCAAAGAAATGGGAATGAAGAGACTGCCCTTCTCTTCCCACTCCTATCATCCCTCCCCCATCCCTGGAAACGTCACACATCATTCCAGTATGTTCATTAACCTTCAGTGTCTGCATTGTCCTGTGCCCTGTGTGTGTGTGTGTGTGTGTGTGTGTGTGTGTGTGTGCGTGTGTGTGTGTGCGCGCGCGCGCGCGCGCAGTCCTGTTTTAAGTGCAGTGTTAGCCCTGGAGAAGCACCAACTTCAGCCGCTAACCATAACCTAAGACAGGACATAGTGGTTTTTTGACATCAACCAGATGTTGACCAGATGTGACTATATATTGCTGAAGTATTAGTTGTCAATGGATTTGTAACAGAGTCTTCAGAGTCCTTTTTCATTGGTTTTACTGGTGTACATGTTGTTTTTATTGGATATACTTTTAACAAAATGCTAGACAATTTAACTAGATTTAGGCAATTTTAGAAAAATAAGCACTATGAAGTCTTTTCTTTGACTAAACAAATTACAGTCGTCCCAATTAAACTATTTCAAAACTTAAGCACAAAGGCTGGACGTGCAGAAGTGTATCTTGCTTTAAGCCCATGAAGTTCTGAGAGATTTATTTAAGATAGGTGGTTCTATTGAATGTCCTAAACTAACTTCTAGTAACCTCTCAAAGGAGGCTCTTCCCAAAAGATGCACAGGTCATGACAAAAGAAATCATTACACAGGTTTTGAAGATACTTTAGCATTTCTCCCATGCCCTTAGAATAGAACAAATATCGCTGGACTGTGTATTACCGCCATCCCTCTGAATCTGCCGTGCGTTTGGATCATATGCTACTGTGTCTGCTGGTCTTTCCTAAAGTTGTATTTTATATTCAGAGATGTTGACTTGAGACTACACACCTTTCGTGGCCAAGAGTGACATCTCTTTCCTTTCACTGAATTGTAGGGGTACATTCTAGACAGTATATTTCAATATGTTAAGTATTCATTGATTAGACGCAGTACTTCTACAAGTAGGAACCAGGGGCCTAGTGGTAGTGATGGCTTGATTTCTGACTGTGGTGAGACTCATCAGTCAGGCCCAACTGGATCATCACGTGACTGATGAGCACTGAGATAGGCTGTGCTACATAAAGGGTTTGCATCCAATTTCCAGGAACCTGGCAAGTCAATAGAAGGAACAGGCTACCATGGAAAAATGATATGAAGATATAAAGTAATAAAGACCATATTGGGGCATGGGTCTGGTGTGATCAAATTGCCCAGAGAAAGTAGACATTTATTCTTTTATTTGAATGGCTCAAGATTTCAAATGCTTAAGCAGGGCAAGTATGAAGTCCTTGTCAAGATTAGATCTGGCTCCTGGATTGCTAGTACCCCCCCCCCTGAGTTGGGCCTTAGGGACCCCCTACTTTAAATACCTCATTTAGTGGACAATGCTTAGAAGTGTCTTGACTGAAGAGACATGGCTTCCGCACTTGAATCGCAAACACCATGATTAGATTAGGGTTCTGTAATTGATGCACATGATTGCTTCAGTGAGGCGTGATGAGCAGTCACACCCTTTGACACACTTTTGTGCTACCCTGAGCTGGCTGTGTGGCAATGCTCATTCACCAAATCCAGAGATGCTATATGAGCTTTTTAGGGTGATGTGAACAGGGCTGCCTTGCTCCTGAGCACTTTCCAATAGAAAGTCTGTCTACTTTATTGCAGGGCCCAGAGGTTCCCCCAAGACCGCCTGATAATAATTTGGTATTTGGAGGCTCCTGCATCACTGCAGGAACCAAAGGAGGCTAAATCCAAGCCTGATGGAGGAGAAGAGTTCTATGGTTATCTGCAAATTCTGGCCAGAAAGCATCTTGAAGTCACTCCTTAGCTTCCATAACTAGCCAAGCAAGAAGTTGCCTTCCCAGGACAAAGCAGAGCGTTCTAATGACTAAGCCCCTCAAAGTGTTGTGTCACTATAGACCATCTATAGACCATCTCCTCGCTCGAGCATGATGGCAAGGTGGAGCTGAGGAGCTCAGCAACATCAAGTCTGGAGTTGGTCTTTATTCAACTAGTCTGTGTAGATGTGTCGGAAAACCAAAGCGTCTTACAGCATGGGTGGTTGATCAGTAAGATTTACAAACTACCCAAGGGCAGCTGTGTTACTGTCTTCACCTTGCCTGTTGGGAAAGATTTTGACAGGGTGTAATGGAAGCTTACCTTCAGAGTTGAAAAACAGAAACAAAGCATATTAAACAGGAAAACTCCCAAATCATGTCTTGAGTTGATGGGTGGGGATGTATTTTATCCATAGAATACTTTTGTTCCTAAAATTATGGTTTGTGTGTGCGTGCATGATGTTTCCAAATCAGCCTTGTAACTTAGCTAGGATCATAGGCCTTGCACCTAAATTTAATTAAGACCATCTCTAATACATACCCTCAAATGTTTGTTTTGAAGAACACGCCTGCCCTCTATGCAATGCCTAGGGAGAGCCACTCCCAGAAGCAGATGCATAGCAAGAATTTGGAAGTTTACTTATTTATTTTGGAAGTTTACTTTATTTTCAACAAAATGGACATTTCTCATCTCCCTATAGTGTGTGTGTGTGTGTGTGTGTGTGTGTTCCATGTCTCTTCAGGTACAGGTGTTTGTTTCCCCACGGATCATATGCTTACCAGGCAACTGTACAGACAAGCACAGGCTCGCTATCCTGCAAAGGCGCAGGAAATCGGGTGTTCTCAAGAGAGCAGTTGTGTGACCAGCCGTTGGTCACAGAATCCACGCCTTTTCCTCTTA